CTCTCTCTCCTTCTCTTTTCTTTTTTTTTTTCTTTTCTTGATCCTCTGTTTTCAAACTCTATCTCTCTTTCTTTTTCTCACGATGCTCTGTTTTTTTAACAGTAAAAATTTGCTTTCGTTCATCACACAACTCTTTTCTATAAAGCCATTTTCGCAACTTATTTCAGAGTACAATTTTACTCTGAATCATATTCTGTAATAAAAACAGAGTAAAATTTTACTCTAAATCAAAATAAAATTTATTATGGTTCAAAGTAAAATTTTACTGTCGTTAAGCAGTTCAACATGTTGTTAACCAGAGTAAAATTTTATTGTTACAAAAACAGAGTATATACTAAATGAACGAATCAGAGTCAAATTTTAGTTTTAGATTTATGAACAAATAAACAACAAAAAAAAAACCTCTTTATTTTTCATTATAATATATCGATTTCTCATTTTTCTGTTAAATCTAAGGTTTTTTTTTTTAATTTTTAATTTTTATCTTAGATCTGAAGTTATTGATCTCAAATATGAGTTCGTAGGTATCAAATCTGAGATGATGGTGGTTTGACGGTAAAAATGGTGGTTGTCGGCCGTTAGTAAGGATGAGCGACGTTGATAAACAATAAAGATAGTGGAGATGATGAACAATATCAAGTTGGTGGAGAGAGAGAGAGAGAGTTGTGAAAGAGAGAGAAAAAAGAGAGGGTATAACGGTCAAATAAAATATTCAAATAACAAATTTTGACCTCATACAAGATTTTATAATTATGAGAGGGTTTTGAAAGTATTAAATTTTTTTTTGTCCTCTTAATAAGAAAAGGAAGCTAGGAGATATTTATGGCCAAATTTTCTTAAAAAATTCTCATAATTTAACCCACACTAAGATAGTATGATAGGGGCAGTGGCAGAGGCTAGGGGTGTACATAATACCGCCGAAACCGCCAAAACTGCACCAAACCGCAACGCCAAGGCAAATTCGTTATTATTTGTTAATCGAACCGCCGGTCTTTGGTAAGAAAAATGGCAAATTCTAGTGACACTTTTATCAATCCGCCGGTTTCTATTTTTCTTCCAAATCGCACCGACCCGCACCGCTATTAAATCATGTTTTATAGGATTCTAAAAATTCTTTTTTACTTAAGTTTGCTTGTTGTTCTATACCTTAGAATATAGTATTACATTACTGCTCGAGGGGAATTTTATGTATTGTATTTGATCATTGTAGCTTCCACAGATGCTTGTAATGAACTGATGGTATAGTCGTTGATATTATCATGTTGTTGCTACACTTGCTACATCAGAAGAAAGCTTCGCAAGATGCTTAACATTACGATATCTCTCGTCTTTTTTTTACTCTTTGATTTAAGTTTTGTAATTTGAATTATATTTTTTATAAACCGTTAATCCGCCCGAACCGCCAAGGCAAATCCGCCATTATTTGCCAACCGAACCGCCGGTTTTTGATAAGGAAAATGGCAAATTCTAGTGACACTTTTATCAATCCGCCACCCGCCATACGGTTTCTATTTTTCTCTCAAACCGCACCGACCCGCACCGCGCACACCCCTAGCAGAGGCACATAGGGCCCGAGGGGGTCATGTGCTCCTGGGTTTTGGGATTTTTTTTTAACATAAAGAAAACATTTTAAATAAAAAAAATTATAAAAAAATTATTTAAAGTAAAATGTCAATGACATTTTTAAAATTATGAAAACAATAATGGTTATTTTGATTGAAAATAAAGAGATTATGATAAGTCACATTATTATCTATGAAAATTTCAATATAATAGTGATGTCTATCATTATTGACATACAAACATAATTAATTTCAATAAAGATATGGAATTTATTAGATTGTTAGTTACATTTGACATGTGGAGTTTATCTTCTATGCGTTTCTTTCCATTCATAACTAAAATGACCACTATATAAATTATAATTAAGCAACACATCTTCAATTATAAAAAATAAAAAATAAAAAAATTACAATAGATCATAATTAATATCAGAATTAGTCATATTAACAATTACTTTATAGTTTATATATAGCCATAATCAAAATAACAACCACAAGAAATTGTAACTAAATTATATCTAACACTATAATGTGTTATAACTAAAGATTACGAAGATCATAATTGCGACATATAATAGACACTTTTTTTGCAAAATGTTTTATAGAATTTCTCTACTAAAATATATCATTTCTATTTCAACTTATCTTTTTTTTTAAAAAATTTTTCCAATCCACCTATAAAATAGTTACTCCCCAATATTTGTATAAAATTTAATCTCAAATCCTTTAATTAAAAATTCACATCTATCCAAATGAACTCTTAATATTTAAGTTTAGTAATATCTCATTGTTGTTTATTATGAAAAAAAATGGGTAAATTGCACTGACACTCCCTGATATTTATGTTTATTACAGTTCTCCCTTCACCTTTTGGAAATTACATCTCATCTCTGAGGTTTAAAGTTTCATTACAGATTCCCCCCTCAGCAATTTAATTTTTTTAAATACCAATTTTGTCCACATTGGGTAAATTACATTGACATCCCTCACATTTTAGAAATTACAATCCCCTCTCTATGGTTTAAAGTAGCATTACCAATTGCCATATCGGTTAGTATTAGTTGGAAAAAAAAGTCATTGAAAAAAAAAATTAATTGAAAAAAAAAATTGTTAGTAAAATTTTTAAATTTCTATTTAAAAATCAACGTAAACTCATTTTTTGAATTTACGTTTTCTCCTCAAATTTACAAACTGAGACAACAGTTTATAAACCAAAAAAATTATCAAACAAGTTTTTATGACAGTTTTTAAAATTTTTGTAAATATAAATTGAAAATTGAAAACGAAATAGTTACCAAACAGGTCTCAGATTGTAATAACGTCGTAAAATTAACAAATAATTAAATAAGTTACCAATGTAAGAAATGACTTATCAAAAGATTTTTAGGCTGTGTATGGTTTGATTTTTAGATTTTTTTTTAAATTAAAAATTAAATTGGTTAAGAAATAAAAAATAAAAAATAATTATCATTTTAACTTTTGGGTAGGTTATATACATACATATGACTGTTTCAATTTAATTTGTAAAAAATTATTTCTAGATACTCGGAAGATAAAAATTATACAAAAATGATAATTATTTTTTATCTTTTATTTCTTAACCAAATTAATTTTTAATTTTTAAAAAAAAATTCTAAAAATCAAATCATACATAGCCTAAGAATCTTTTGATAAGTCATTTCTTATGTTGGTAACTTTTATTTAATTATTTGTTAATTTTACGACATTTTTACCATCTGAAGCCTGTTTGGTAACCATTTCATTTCAGTTTTCAATTTATATTTACAAAAATTTAAAAAGTTGTTATAAAAACTAGTTTGATAATTTTTTTTGATTTTTAAATGGTTGTATCAATTTGTAAATTGAAGGAAAAAATGTAAATTCAAAAAATAAATTTACGTTGGTTTTTAAATAGAAATTTAAAAATTTTACTAACAATTTTTTTTTAATTAATTATTTTTTTCAAATTATTTTTTTTCCAATTCATTTTCTTTTTCAATGAATTTTTTTTCCAACTAATACTGACCGAGGGGGCAATTAGTAATGCTACTTTAAACCTTAAGGAGGGGATTGTAATTTCTAAAATGTAAGGGTGTCAATGTAATTTACCCAGTGAGGGCAAAATTGATATTTAAAAAAATTAAATTGTTGAAGGGGGAATCTGTAATGAAACTTTAAATCTTAGGAAGGAAGATATAATTTCCAAAATGTGAGGAGGGAATTGTAATAAACACAAACTTCAGGGGTGTCTGTGTAATTTACCCAAAAAAATTAATGTTGTCATTAAGTTGTGCCCCTTTTCACTGAATACGCCACTGGATAGAGGTAATTTTTAAGTATGCAAATACATATCATATGTACTTACGTAAAATTTCATAAATATACATAAATTATCTCACAAAATTACGTAAGTTTTTATAAATATATGCAAGTTTCTTTATAAAAAATTAAAAAATCATAATTTACCTATATTTATAAAAATTTATGTAATTTTATAAGATAATTTATACATATTTATAAAAATTTATATGATATAGACTCAAATCCTTTCCCGTATGTCGTAGGTGTCAATCTTTAACGAACGTGGGTCTCTAGTAGGGGTATTTGCGGTTTGGATTTGGACGGTTTGCGGAAAAGACAACCAGCAACCGCCCGCAGTGCGGTTTGCGGTTTGTGCGGATAGGGTTGGCGGATGTGCGAGCGGTTTGCGGATTGGACTTTTTTCTTTAAAAATTTTTTAGCCTTATTTTTTTCCCATTTTGTAAATATTTATTTTGAGATCTTTTCTCCCCATTTTCTAAAATGCTACAACATTAATAATTAATGAATTAAAACTTATAAAATTAAAAATACAACAAAATCAATTCGTAACACAAACTAAATCATTCAAAATCTTAAATCAAATCATAAACTAACACAAGCATGTATTTCAAAATCCTAAACTATAACTCCATATTCATTAAGGAATTTAAAATTCCAAATCATACTTCATCCGGGACAAGTTCAATTATGTAACAATAATAATATGATCAGTATTTATTCAGTTTTAGTTGATATAATACTATTAACAAATGTAATGCTAGAGTAAGTTCAAAAAATAAAGAGCGTTTTGTTTTGGACAAAAATATCTAAGTGAGATATAGAAATAAAATCAATAGTTAAGATAAAATAAATAAATAAATAAATAAAGTGCAGGCAATTTCTTACGGGTGCAATTTAAACCCACAACCCGTAAAAATTCTATATTTCAAACTACATCTATTCATATTATATTTACAAAATCACCTATTTATATGTCAATTAGACAAATTAAACGATTTTTACGAATCGAATAAACCGTATATGTCAATTAGACAAATTAAACGATTTTTACGAATCGAATAAACCGTTGTCCGCCCCTGCTCTCTAAATAAGGTAAGGGATGTAATTAGTGACACCCCCATTTAAATTTGAACCATACGGGATTCGAGCCCCACGAGTTTCACGCTCTCAAACACACTCTTCTCACGTTGTCGTTGTTGTTGTTGTTGTTTAAAAATAAATTTGAAAGAATCCAATCATCGAAACAGAGCCAGTGTACTCTTTGATCGGAGTGGAACAACCATAGTCGAAGCTCCAAACAAAACACTTGTTCTTAGTTTCTGTCTCCGAATCACACTTTCCTACAATCTCCGGCGACCGATGATTTTCAGGCGGATTTGGCGGCAGAATTCCGGCCGCCCGTGGCGGTTGTGCTCCTCCTCCGCCCACTCCTCGCCGCCGTCGTTGGCCTGTCTGCAGAAGTCTCAATTTCTAGGGTTTTCGTCTCAAATACACAATTCGACGATACCTTCTTTCCTGGCTAATAAACACACTGATGTGAGTCATTAATATCAATTGAAGGTCAATTGTTTTCGATATTCCCAGTAATTGTAGGTTTTTTTTAATGTTTTTTTTTGTTTCTCTTTGTTAGTTTTATTGGGATATTTATTCATGTTTCTGGATTTCTAGTGCTATGTAGTTATTAAACAACTGGCACTTATCAATTTTATATTTAGATGATGTAGTGGCTTTAAAACAGACTATGCACTCTAGAGATAGCTGCCAAATACATTAAATTAGGCTTCTTTCCCTGATTGCGTTTCTTTTTATTGGCTATTTAACAAAATAGTGTACGGACAAACTTTATTCCCAAATTACGGTAAAATGTGATTACCAATCATGTTTTTCTTGAAAACATAGTTGCCAACAGCGTTTTCCTTTTTTTTTTTTTTTTTTTTTTTTTTTTTTTTTTTTTTTTTTTTTTTTTTTACTTGAATGTAAATGTTTGTGGAAAAAATAGAATGCAAAAAGTTATTTCAGATAGCGTTATGTGTTAAGTAAAAAATGTGGTTATCAACCACGATTTCATGAAAATGTGATTGCTAGCCATGTTTTGACGTTTGGGAAATAATGGTGGCCGTACACTATTTGATTAAATAAGTAATAAAAAAATGTTTTCAGGGAGACGATATGAGCCATTAAATTATACAAAAGGTCTTGATAATAACGTGGACTAAAGTAGCAGTCTTAAAAATAGTGAGACCTTGTTTTTATTTTTCTAAACTACGTGTTCATGCCTTTTGTGAGGTTTCTCTGCAATATTTGTTAGTGAGCATAGTGATACTCTTTGTATGGTGCAACACAAGCTAGCACAATTTTCTTGGAGCGCTTTCTATGTGGATCCGTAAGTAGTAATCGTGGCACCTTGGTTAGTACTTCTTATTTGTTTTCTATGTTTTGTAGTTGAACACTCACTATGATATGAAGAGATGTTGCTTTTCAACTCAAGCTTTGGTTGATCTACCAGTTGGTGGGATAGTTGATGTACCTTTGGCACAAACCGGTGAAGGTATTGCTGAATGTGAAGTTCTCAAATGGTATGTGCAAGAGGTAAGTGGTGCTAGTTTAGTGTATCAATCCCTGGCATCTACTTGTGTGTTATAGACCGTTGTTCAAGGGTCATTTGAATTTCTGAATCTTTGGGTGTGTTACAGTGCTCTTTCTAAACTACAAATACAAGGTTTTCTTTCTGTAATTCATATTCAAGTTTCATTGCTTTTTCTTGTACTTTTTTAGGATGATCGTACATATCATCTTCCGCTTTTGTTATATTTTCCATTACTAATACAACTACTCTATAACAGACCAAATTTTGTCTAGTTAGTGGTTTTTTGGGAAGGTTTTCAAATTCTTTTTGAGACTAAAATTATAGCATTGGATGATATGCTGCTTCTGCTCAAATTATAGCACCGGTACTACTATAATATGTCTGGAAAGGAAACTCTTAACTTTTTTTATGCATGCAATAGTTATCTAGTGATTGGGATGCTCACTTCATGTCAAATATATGTGGAAGTTACTTGCAATTCTCCCTGCTAAAGATAGGAGCTAAACAGATGCTGATTTTTAGATTAAATCTGGCTTGCCTTTTGAGGCCCAATGCTAGGTTTAATGTTTGACTGCTAGCTTGTGTTTGTTTTATTTTGAAGTGCTTATAATCTTTCAGCCATTAGTCCATTGTGAGTCATTTACACATGCACATTTGTTTTTTGTAATATGATAATATATCTAAATGCTAGCTTTATTGTTATGATACATTAGCAGAGTTAAATGTTAATTAAGTGTCTGCCAGGGAGATGAAGTTGAAGAATTTCAACCACTTTGTGAAGTTCAGAGCGATAAAGCGACCATAGAAATAACAAGTCGTTACAAAGGAAAAGTTTCACAAATTCTCCATGTTCCTAGTGACATTGTAAAGGTAATGAGTACAATTACTTTTCTAGAAGTAATGCTTTTTGTCATCTCAAATTTTATGCAAGTTTAATTACCTCAATAATTGTCCATTGCCTAGTTACAGAATTAGGAATGAGCATGGGAGACAATGTTGCATCATGCATGAAAAAAGCAAGAAACCTGACCTTGATTCGGATGGTTTTATTTTTTTATATTGAGAATTAGTCCAGGAAATCATATAAAAAAAAACTATGTCAAATGAATAGTAAAGTCAATGTTGGTAGCAGATTACAGTATTGTTACATGCACAGAAAAGTGCATCAGGAAAATCAATATATTGGTTGCTCAAATGAATTTGGATCACCAATAAAGAAAAACGGACGAGTGCAAAAAGCATCATAGCGAGACAAAACGATCCCAACTAGGTTGGTACTGAGATGCACGCCCAATCACTTGCTAGCACACCATTGGCGATTGGTGAGAAACCAACCAAACGAACAAGAAAAAACAACAAGCAACTAAGCAGTACTGATCATGCAAAAAACTAAACAACCCCAAAACAGAAGTGTACTACCAGCAGGCCCCCCCTATGCTTCAAAGCAGCCACAACCCAAGCAAAACAGAGCCAACACCTCCCCTGATGCATGAATTAGTCTACAATCACCCCGGATCACTATCTGATGCATCTTCTCAGCTGCTGCAGATCTGATCCAAACTGATTAACTGAACAAAATTTCCCAAGGAATTAGTTTTCATCCACAACGCCAATTTCACCTTGATCAGCTCACATAACTCCTCAAAATCTGGCTGTGCTTCATTAAATTGCAGTCGTTCCTGTGTTTCCAAACAGACCAGAAAAGTGCCAATGGTATTGCCTTCCACAGATGTCTTTCAACTTTTTTAAACCTCCACCCAATCCACCATTGCATCAAGGCCTCCACTGAACCTGGTATAGCCCAATGAACCCCCCACCACTTGATAATACTGGACCAACCATTCCAAACAAAAGGGCAATGAAGCATTATATGGTTCAATGTTTCTGCTTCAGATTTACAAAAAATGCACACTGAACCCACATCACCCTGAAGTATCCCAACCAATTCTATGCAGCAGATCAGATGACTTAATCCTCCTTTTCCACACCAACCAAGCAAAGCATTGGGCTATTTGTCTGTTCCTAACAGTAAGATTTATCTTGTTTCACTATCATGTAACATATTTGAAGTTTGGAGACCTTCTTGGGTTTCTTATTGTTTTGTTTTTTCCCTGTTAATGATGCTGAGATATTTACCATTAGGTACAGTTACAATTGATAAGTACTTGTACATAGTTCGATATTTATAAATCCTTATAGCTTCTAGAGATTGTAATGCTTTCCAAGTTCACTAAAATTTCAGGTTGGAGAAACTCTTCTCAAGATGGCTGTCGGAGAGCTTCCAGTTCCACCTCAAACTGGTGATAATTTGGAAAATATGAAGTCAGTGATTTCTGAGATATGCAACTCAAATACTCAAAGTTCAGTGCTTAAGAATACTAACGTAGGTGTAGTTCTATCCACACCTGCTGTTCGAAACCTTGCAAAACAATATGGTATAGATATAGGTGATGTCAATGGAACTGGCAAGGATGGAAGGGTATTAAGAGAAGATGTCATCAAATATGCTGCCAACAAAGGAATTGTCAAAGAAGCTTTGGCCTCTTCAATTGCTACTCCTGGAGAACAGTTGCTGGGAGGGGATGAGGAATACCCACATGTGTCAGCCGCATATGGATGGGATTATGAGGATAAGACAATTCTGTTGAGGTAATATTGGACATAAATATGAACCTGGAATAATTAGATAAAATGTTACTTTTTGTTATGTAATCGGCTTTATGTCAGACATGGACATAAAAACACAATAAATGGACATAATATGTTTAACAATTGTTAATGTTGGCATATGATGTAACCATGCCATAACATATGTTCAGTCGGTCAGATTTTGTAAACTAAGCAACTTAAAAATTGTTCCTCTCTTACAGGGGATTCCAGCGTGCGATGGTTAAATCAATGACTTTAGCTGCAAAAATTCCACATTTTCACTATGTAGAAGAGATAAATTGTGATGCACTTGTGGAGCTTAAAGCATCTTTTCAAAATGAGAATTCTGATCCAGGTGTCAAGCACACTTTCCTTCCAGTCTTGATAAAGTCACTCTCAATGGCATTGAACAAGTATCCCTTTCTAAATAGTTGTTTCAATGAGGAGTTGCAGACAGTCACCCTTAGAGGTTTGTAATTTTCTATTCTGTCTGCTAGTTGGCTGCTTATTGAGTTTTTATAAGACAAAATATGAGTGTCCTTTTCAAAGTAAAAAGAGTGTATTATGTTTTTTGTGGCATTTGAACACAACTTTTATTTGTTAAATTTGAAAAAATACCATAAGCACCAAATTCATTGCAACTGATTATTTTTTTATTAATCTTTGTTACAAAGTTGATTGAAATTTGAAACAAATGGACTGATTAATTACCATATAGAAATTCAAAATCTCAAACATATTTCAAAATTTTTTTAGAACTCATAGAATGGTTTTATGTCCATGGGAAGTCCAAACATGTACTCAACTCAAAACCTAGTCTGCATGTTTAATGCTATTTAGTGTTGTTAGCTCTGCCCAGCTCAAAGTGTTAGTAGTTCTTTATTATGAGCAATGTCTTTTTTTGGTAGGTGTTCTAATCTATGTTATACTGCTAAATCTTTGATTACGTCTGTGATATGTCTTGTATTTTTTCCTTGACTACAACTCATTGACAGTTTTTTTTTCTCTTCTTCTTCTTCTTCTTCTTCTTCTTCTTTTTAAGGTTCTCACAATATTGGTATTGCCATGGCTACTCAACATGGTCTAGTTGTACCCAACATAAAGAAGGTTCAGTCTCTTTCCATCTTGGAGGTTAGTTTCTTCTTCTTCTTGGAACTCTTGTCTCCGAGCTGTGCAATTTAATGCATCATTCGTCTTTGTCATTGTTTATTGACTTTTAAGTCTTGCATTGATTGTATTCCTTGTTTCTCTCTTCAAATTTGGGTAAGAAGAAAGAAAATGAAAATGAGCTTTGTTGAAGCTGTGCTTTCTGCATTGGGTGTATGGCATTCTCTTTTCCTTAGGTGGATTTTAACATGCATCATTCGTCTTTGTCATTGTTTATTGACTTTTAAGTCTTGCATTGATTGTATTCCTTGTTTCTCTCTTCAAATTTGGGTAAGAAGAAAGAAAATGAAAATGAGCTTTGTTGAAGCTGTGCTTTCTGCATTGGGTGTATGGCATTCTCTTTTCCTTAGTCACCCTTTTCATTTGCATGTTTTTCTCGGGCCTTCCTGTTTCTTAATTCCTTTAAGGGTAAAAAAGAAGAAAGCTCTGGTGCCCTTTCGAAACTCAGTGCTCTAGTAACATCTTTTGAGTGGTTTATTATCCATTGTGCATTTTTCATTGGAGTTTTTAGACAAGTTTTCTGAGAAAATGTCATTAGAAAGTAAGAATCGCCTTTGGGTAAGAAAAAAAGAGTAATAATGAGAGAAAAAAAGAGAGGAATAGTTTAATGCAAAAAGTCCAATTTTGTTTTCAATTTCATATCTAGATTTTAAAAACATAATTTCCTTAACAAATATGGAGTTACTGTGTTGTTCTTGAAAGGGCTGATCATATAGGTGTAAAGTGATTATCAAATTCATCTACGAGGGCTTGGTTCACTTATTGCCAGACTTACTACCTAGGTTTACCCTATTACATTTATAGTCAAAACATATTTTGCGTTTTCAAAGATTTGAGAGTTCAATACCTTTGTTGGTTTCCATTAGCTCATATTCATTTAATATAATTGGGACAGAATTACTTTAGGTGCATTATTATTTGGAATAATATACTTGGACTTCTTCAATGGCATTGGTTCTCTCTATAGACAGTTCTCTTATTGCTAAAGTGCCTCCCTTTTTTTTAAGTACTGTGTCAATTCAAATTTTGATTTGGATATAATTCTTAATCTGCATATGGTATCTGTTTTCTTCCTCTTTGGGCATCATCTCCTTTTCTCTTTCAAAAGAAGAAGTTATTTGATATAATATCTCTCTTTCATGTCATCAGATTACAAAGGAACTCTCACGGCTTCAACAATTGGCTTCAACTAACAAGCTTAGTCCTGATGATGTATCTGGTGGGACTATAACTTTGAGCAATATTGGAGCAATCGGTGGAAAATTTGGTTCGCCTCTTGTCAACACACCAGAAGTTGCTATCATTGCATTGGGCAGAATCCAGAAGATTCCTCATTTTGCTGATGATGAAAATGTGTATCCTGCGTCAGTCATGACTGTAAGTAGTGATTTGTCAAATCTTTTTCTTTATACAGTCAAAAAAAAAAAAAATTATTGAAAAGATGCACATTGCTACAGTCCTATATTGTTGCCTTTACCTACGACTAGCGGTCAGGCACATGCGATGTGTGTACACACTCGTAAAATAAATATAAGTTTGAAATAGTGCATTAAAAAACTTGAATATATAAATTAAAAAAAATTGAATATAAAAATAATTTAGCTAAACTCAATATTCTTAACTAAATATAAATTTTAAAAAAATGGAATATATAAATAATTAAACACAAATTCAAAGACTAAATATTTGCAATCAAAGAGATTTAATGAACATGAAAAAAATTAATTAATTAATCAATAACTCAAAAAAAAAAAAAAAAAAACTTCAAAGATAAGGCAAAAATATACGAATGTGTATATATATCTTACAAAACTCGAAGATAATTCAAAAGTATGAGTGTGTGTGTATATATATCATATCAAATCTTGAAATTGAAAAAAAATTCTGAATATCTATTTCTTCTTCTTCTTCTTCTTCTTTCTTTTTTTTTGTTTCTAAAATAAGTAACTTTTAAAAAATATATGAGTGTGTATATATATCATATCAAACATTGAAATTTTTAAAAAATTCTAAATTTGTATTTCTTCCTCATTCTTTTTTCTAAAATAAGTAGATTTTCATAATATATTTTCAACTTACTATTCTCAGCTATCCAAGAATTAAATGATTTTTTTGTTTTTTAATATATTTTTATTATTATTATTTTGTTTCAAAAAATGTTTAAGAACATCCCTATTTTTTTTTGTGTTTGCAAATTTTTTTTGAAAAGTTTGGAATACTACTTTTTTTGAAACAGTTTGGGAATTAAAAAATAGTTTGCCTACATTTTAAAGAAAAATAAAAAGAAAAAAAAAATTGAAAACACAATGAATAAAAAAAAAATCATTCTCTTTTTTGTTTTCTTTTTCTGACTTCTCCATTAACCTGTTAAATCAATGTGCAAAAAAAATAAATTTATACTTACAAGGATAATCTATATAATTTAAAAAGTTTGTATTGTAAAATTCACATCTATCTATCCTATGTATAAAGCATCTAACATATATGTACAAAAAATCTATAAACAAATAAAATAAAAATATACTCACAAAGATAATATATACACAAAATCTGTACAATTATTTTTATTTTTTGTACTTTTTTCAATCAATATGATGCAAAAAATGAAATTGAAGTTTTTTTTTTTTTTTACAATGGGCGTAATGAAGAAATGAAAACTATTAAAGAAATACAAAATTTATATTAAAACACACACACACACACACACACACACACACACACACAAAAGCCTTAGTCATTGAGAATTAAAAAAAAAAAAAAAAAAATTTATCATTCTTAGATTAACAGATAAATATTGATAAGTAATTACTTGAAAGTTATTTCCTTTGAACAACACAAAGTTGTAAAACAATCTGGGGAAAAAAAAAATTGTATATAAGTTGTAAGACAACAAAAAATTCTATATATAAGTTGTAAGACAACCTTTGAAAAAAAAAATTGGATAAATTTGTGTAAAACAACCTGGGGAAAAAAATAGGAATATGTTAACATATATGTATTATTGATTGATTGTGTATATTACAAGATTGATTAATTACAATTCCTATACAATCTATATATAGAAGAAAATGTGGTAGTAGGTGTAGTGGAGGTGATAGTGGGTTATACAATCTATATGTAGAAGAAAATGTGGTAGTAGGTGTAGTGGAGGTGATAGTGGGTTAGGTGAAGTGGAGTGTGTGGTGAAGTGGAGGTAGGTGAAGTGGAGTGTGTAGTGGAGTAGGTGAAGGTAAAGATGGGAAATTCTAACAGAATACGAATTCTATAAATGTAAATTCTGCATAATAACTCATCAAATGACCAACTCTTGTATGGGTCTGCACTTTGCTTTGTACTTCCTCTACAAATCCAATCAAAACCTCCAAATTTTGACCCCAAAAGACCTCTCTCTCAATCTCTAAACCTAATAATTGTTCTTCTTTTATTACATCTTTTCTTCCTCAATTTCTCGTTTTTCTTCGATTCATTTGGGCATCTTCAATAGATTCAATCGCATTCTCTGAAAAATCAAAAAGTTAAAAAATAAAAAATAAAAAAAATCATATAATAGAATGATTGTAAAAGGAGAAGAAGGGGGGAAAAAGAAAAATATAACCAAAAAAACAAAAAAAAAATTTCAATCACTGAGAATATAAAAATTGAAAACTCTTATATTGCTTACCGTCAAAGAGAAACAAAAGATAGTCTTCTATTAGTTTGTACTTCTTTTGTCATAATTGAATCAAACATTTTTGTACTTTTTTTAAAAGAGAAAAACATTATAGAAATAGAGAAAGAATCCCATGCACTCCCATGCACATTGGACTCACACCCCATGGTTGGTGGTTCTATTTTTGGTTGAAAAAATCAATTCATCTAAATCAAACTCATTTTAGAATTCAAGAAAATACATCAATTTAATTTATCTATCAAGTTAAGGTGTATGTCTATGCAAAAAATAAAAATTGAGGAGTTGAAACTGATGGGGTTCAAACTGGATGGCACCATCTTCAAAGCCTAAGAAACCAATGGGATTCAAACAGGGTGACATTTACACCTTGAACTATTATTTTGACCCTTTATCTGCATAATAGAAGCAAAAGTTTAATGGTAAGCAAAACTCGTAATTTTTTAGGATTTGCTTCTAAATTTAGTCAAGAACTAATCTAAATTAATACTCTTTGATAAGAAAATGTTGCTGACAAGATGATATGGAGGATATCAAACACAATGCTTATGATTGTTTCAAAGACAATTCATTGTGCTATTAAAGAGTTGTTAAAAATTAAAATAAATAAATACAAGTATGTTGACGACAAAGTAAAATAAAGCATATTACAAGTCAATCATGATGCTTTTGACAAATTTGAATGCATCTGATTCAAAATAAATTAATGAGTTCAAATCAGTAGGGTACAATACCAAGTATTTATTCCACAAAAACTCGACAAAAAAACAAGTGAATAATGGGTGAAACATGGTCAAATTGACAACATTCTTTCTAATTATCACAACATTGATCAAAGAACATATATTTTTTTATTTTTAAGAATTATCTCGTCGATGTATATGAGTGGATCACCACCATTACAATTTATTTGAGTGAGTCTCCACAAGTGTTTTTTTTTCAACAAAATAATTTTTCTAAATTCAAAATTTTTTAAACTTATTTTCTAAATTCATGTTGTTTTGTAAAGTAATAGCAGTCTACATGAATGACATTTGATTCTGAACATCCGTTTAGATTAAAAAACTAAATTCCCATGCATCAAGCAGCCAATAATTTCTCTAGAATTTCAATTTGTCCGATTCACTCCCATGCACATTGGACTGACACCCCATGGTTGTCTGTGTCAGTGACAATGTAAGTGCATGCATATATAGTCCTTGAGTGATGGTTTAAGAATTTTTTTTTTATCAGAGTTTATCTTATGGCCAAGTGTATGGTACACAAACCACATACCCCTTAAAAGGGTGTGTACCATATGCAAGTTTTGTCTCAATGTGGTGTTAACAAAGTGGTGTTAGTTATAACTTGATGTAGTGTTTTGTGAGGGTGCCTGCTGAGGTTTATTTTGTTTGTAGTGCTGCATCTAGTTGGCTCTGAGTACTAGGTTTTACAGAATCATTGGTTTTAATTAGTTGTGAATTTTTGTCAATATTTTCCTATGGTTTGATGCAGCTTCTTCTTTTCAGGTAAATATAGGTGCCGATCATAGAGTTTTGGATGGAGCAACTGTTGCAAGATTTTGCAATGAGTGGAAGCTATTTATTGAAAAACCGGAGCTGCTCATGTTGCATATGAGATGACTTGACCACCGGCAACAAGATGGTTGGTTTTCATCCTCTATAGTTCGACTTCTATTCCTTGTTCAAATGCTAGGATTTTTTTTTACTGATATTAAGAAACCCTAAATTCATTGACCAAGCAGGAATTGACTAAAACTGGGGTTCTATCTGGGTTTGGTAAAATTTTCAGGCAAAGGAATGCAAATGTGGCCATGAACCAGCAGCCACCAGGTCCGTTCCAACGACATTAATTTATGCAGAATCTGAAATGGACATTCATTGTTGTATAATGTGACCTTTAAAGCAGGGTTTGAACTTTGTTACATGACAATATGTTATTACATGAACTGCTGGGGTTTTCAATATTCCTGTTTGTTGTCGTCATCCTCTTTTTGGTTTGGATATCGGGTTTTATTTAGATGCAAGAGCTATACGGCATTTTTTTTTTTATATATTTGTTTTAACATTCCGTTGTAATAAGGCCAGGTCAATATTTTTCATGATTATCCGAGAATAAAGGTTTCGAGGTTTAGCTTTTCCAATTATGGTTACATTGTTTTTGGAAATGTTTACATTTAGGCCCCATTGTTTGGAAGTAAATGGGCGGCTTAGCCATTATAAATTGGTATCATAAGGTAGAATTTGAGATTTATTTAAGAGATGAGCAAATGGCAAAGATTGACACCAATTTAGAAGACAATGATTAAATTGATATAATTACAAGTTAAAATTTTTATTTGTTTCTGAAGTCAAACCATTTCTCTATTATTTTTTGTTATCTCAAATATCTTAGACTTTGTAAATAAATTATTACGTTAATATTATTTGACCCACCTAATAATTTTTGCCAAAACGTGCATAAAAAAGTGATGCCACAATGGGCCAATTTAATACATGTTATATCATTTTTTGAGTTTGATATTACTTGTAAATTGAAACATGTGTCCTACAATTCAATTAGACAATCTAGAGGATCATTCCACAATACATAAGAATTGAATTATATTTGAAATGGTACTTGTAAACCCATTTTTAGTTGTTTCTAATTTTTTACGAGTAAAATTGTTGATGCGACCTAACCATAAAGGCAAAATATAAAATAAAATAAATTAGAAGATAAGTAATGTTAAATAAATTTTTTATAAAGAATGATGCAGTTGTAATAGTGACTTACATTTTAAAATGGAAAATGATTTATAAATTCATTTTTTAGATTTAATAATGTGTAAGTAATATGGTTGGTTGATAATTAGAGAAAATATGAGAGTAGTATTGCCTTAAATATCCTAATTGATTGTTATATCATTAGACTTAAAAATTGGGTCTAATTTTTTGACTTCTCTTTTAAAATAGTACGCTTAAGATGGTTTTTAATTATAAAAATGTCATTAAAATTAATTGTATATGATAAAAAATATTTTAAACAATTTTTAATATTTGATACAATAAAAATGAAAATCAAGAACAAAAAAGGGGAAAAAAAAGAAAAAGAAAAAAACATTCAATGAAAAGTGAGCTAATTCAGATGAAAGCATTTTAGGAATTTCTTTTAAAAAAATTCTAGAATTTGACCTTAATATCAAATTAAATCCCAAAATTTTAATTTCATCATTTTAAATCCTACATTTAAAAAAATAAATTAAATTAAATTACAGCCGCATAAATGCTGCCACCATTGTTATTGTTACCAAGATACTGTCACAACCATAGCAAATCACCACAATCACTCCAACTACCACAATTACTAGTACATAGAAAGGTTTGAATAATAAAAAAAAATGTGCAAAAAAAGGTTTTAATAAATATATTTCTTAATTTTTTACAAAAATATATGTGAAAAAATAGAGATGTGAGGTGATTCAAAAATGATAAAAAAATAAAAAAAAATTATACATTTGTAGGGATGCAAATATTACTAGAAAATAAAAAATTTAAACCATAAAAAAATAAAAATAAGTGTAATTACGAATCAGTTAAGAAACCGCCACTTCAACCATGATCTCTCTCGCGTGGCCTTAACGCTTAACCACCTTTTTATCTCCCTCCAGAAATTCTATTCAAATCATTCCCATTTCTACACTATATCAACCCATTCTTCTCTCTCTTTCAAGGATGGAGTCTCACATATTCTTATGTACACTTATTTCACTATTGACCCTTACTCTCTCCAAACTCGCAAATTCAGGTATTTCTCATCTCACTGTTGGGATCTGGGATCCCGCCCAAGACCTTATAGAAATCATTGCAAGCAGAAAAACACACCCACACACAAGGAGACACAATATTTTACGTGGTTCGGCCCAATGCCTACGTCCACGGGAGAGTAACCGGTTATCACTATACCAATGAGGAGATTACAGAAAGATTACAATAGAGGAGGAGCTCACACTCTCCTCACTCAGCCACTCACCCGTCTCCCTCGCTCACACCGAGGGAGACGGTCTCTCCGCCTCACATCTCTCACTCTCTTTGTTGTCTCACGGTTTGCTCACTCTTTGGCCTCTCCTCTCAACCTCCATTTATAGGTGAGGGAGTAGGTGGGAGAGCCTTTGGGCAGCCTCCATCCTTGACTCTTCAAGATGGTTGGTGGCCTTCCATTGTTGACCAAGGTGTGTTCCCATGGAAGAGCATCACCTCCTTCACATGGGGTGAATTCAACACTCACTACCCCTTCCAATACACGAACATACATATATATCTGTTATTGTGTTTTGAAGGCATGAGTGATTTTGAATTTTGCAGAAAATGTACCAATCCATTTGGTTGGTTGGATGACAAAGACACATTTTTGGCTGGTGATATAGCAACTATAAAAGTTAAATTGTTGAGAAATTATGAGTGAGACAAATACAAATATGCTTTTAATCCTAATATTACGATGAATGAGAAGATAGGTAATTGGTCTTTGATTTCTGAGATTTCTTTTAATTTTGATAGTAACTCCAGTGATTGGAGGATTTCGTTTGTTCTGATTATAGTTGGGTTGTTTAATGTGCTTGTTACTGATGATTATTTCAATGTTCTAGACTTGTCGCTACATTTTCAAGTCACACCAATTAGACAATCTAGAGGATCATTTCACGATACATAAGAATTGAATTTTAATTGAAATGGTACTTGTGAACCATTTTTAGTTGTCTCTAATTTTTTACGAGTAAAATTGTTGATGTGGCCTAACCAAAAGGCAAAATATAAAATAAAATAAATTACATATAGTGAGAAGATAAGTAATGTTAAATAAAATTTTTATAAAGAATGATGCAATTGTAATAGTGACTTACATTTTAAAATGGAAAATGATACATAAATCCACTTTTTAGATTTAATAATGTGTAAGTAGTATTATTGGTTGATAATTAGAGAAAATATGAGAGAGTATTGCCTTAGATGTCTTAATTGATTGTTATATCATTGGACTTAAAAATTGAGTCTAATTTTTTGACTTATCTTTTAAAATAGTACACTTAAGATGGTTTTTAATTATAAAAATATTGTTAAATTTCATTTTATATGACAAAAAATATTTTAAACATTTTTTAATATTTGATACAATAAAAATGAAAATCAAGAACAAAAAAGGAAAAAAAAAAAAAAGAAGCGTTTAATGAAAAGTGAGCTAATTTAGATGAAAGCATTTTGGGAATTTTTTTTTTTTAAAAAAAATTTCTAGAATTTGACCTTAATAACAAATTAAATCCCAAAATGTTAATTTCATCATTTTAAATCCTACATTTAAAGAGAAATTAAATTAAATTAGAGCCTCATAAATGCAGCCACCATTGTTATTGTTATCACGATACTGTCACAGCCATAACAAATCACCACAATCACTCCAACTATCACAATTATTAATACACAAAAAGGTTTGAATAAAATAAAATAAAAATTGTGCCAAAAAAGGTTTTAATAAATATATTTTTCAATTTTTTTATAAAAATATATGTGAAAAAAATAGAGACGTGAAGTGACTCAAAAAAGATAAAAAAAAAATTAAAAAATTTGTACTTTTGTAGAGATGCAAATATTACTAGAAAATAAAAAGTATAAACCCTAAAAAATAAAAAATAAGTGTAATTACGAATCAGTTAAAAAACCGCTACTTCAACCATCTTCTCCCTCGTGTGGCCTTAATGCTTAACCACCTTTTTTTTTATCTCTCCCCAAAAATTCTATTCAAACCATTTCCACCTCTACACACAGTACCAACCCATTCTTCTCTCTCTCTCTCAACCATGGAGTCTCACATGTTTTTATGCACACTTATTTCACTATTGACCCTTTCTCTCGCCAAACTCCCAGATTCAGTTATTTCTCACTACCCCTTCCAATACACACACACGCATATATATATATATATATATGTTATTGTGTTATGATGGCATGAGTGATTTTGAATTTTGCAGAAAATGTACTAATCCCCAATTTTGCTTTTGGTTGGTTGGATGACAAAGACACATTTTTGGCTGGTGATATAGCAACTATAAAGGTTAAATTGTTGCGAAATTATGACAGAGACGAGTACAAATATGCTTTTAATCCAAATATTACGGTGAATAAGAAGATGGCCAATAGTCCTTTGATTTCTGGGGTTTCTTTTAATTTTGATAGTAACCCCAGTGATTGGAGGATTTCGTTGGTTTCGGTTATGGTTGGGTTGTTTAATGTGCTTGTTACTAATGATCATTTCAATATTCTAGACTCGTCGCTACATTTTCGAGTCACACCAATTAAACAATGTAGAGGATCATTCCACGATACTTAAGATAAAATAAATTACATATAATGAGAAGATAAGTAATGTTAAATAAATTTTTTTATAAAGAATGATGCAATTGTAATAGTGACTTACATTTCAAAATGGAAAATGATATATAAATCTATTTTTTAGATCTATTTTTTTTATTTAAGAATGTGTAAATAATATTATTGGTTGATAATTAGTGAAAATATGTGAGAGTATTGTTTTAGATGTCCTAGTTGATTGTCACATCTTAAACTTAAAAATTAGGTCTAATTTTTTGACTTATCTTTTAAAATAGCACACTTAAGATGGTTTTTAATAGGGGTGGACGCGGGTCGGTTGTGGCCACGGAACCTCCAATCCGCCATCCGTCCGCCAGGTTGGCGAATTGGAGAAAATCAATCCGCATCCGTCCGCCAATTCGGCGGATGTGGATTGAGCGGTTTGGCAGATGGATGCGAATCGGTTTGGCGGTTTGAAATTTTATAAATTTTCAATATAATTCAACTTGTGCACTTCCTCAAAAAAATATATATATATATATATATTACAGTCAATGGCTTAAAAAAGTATTACAATTACTGCATGTCTCATCCAAAGAAAGAAAGTTTGAAACTTTAGAATATCAAAATCACTGCATGCCTCATCCACATATTACAATCACAGTATGCCTTATCTACATAAGTATTACAATATGTGGTTCTTAAAATATAAAAACAATTCAAACCGCCAAAACCATGAATAGAGCACTTGTAGAGATTGTATGTCTCTGTATTGTTACATTTATATATGTTTTTGAAA